CTCAGTATTTACTGAGGCTGTACAATCAGGTCTGGGAGTCGTCGTCAGTCCCTGAAGGCTGGCTCGATGCTGTTGTCCTCCCTGTTCGGAAACCAGGGTCTCTCGGGTCATCCCCCAAGGACTTCCGCCCTATTGCTCTCAAGAGTTGTGTCTGCAAGCTCTTTGAACGTATGGTCAACGTTCGTTTGATGTAGTTCTTAGAGCACTATCGCCACCTCACCCCTTCTCAATTTGGTTTTCTCAAGTGCCGCAGCACAACAGATGTCCTGGTGTACTTGGAGGTCTATATTCGTACTGCTTTTGCTGCGAAGACCTCCGTTGTTGCCGTCCTTTTTGACCTGGAAAAGGCTTACGACACTACCTGGCGGTATCATATTCTGTCTCAACTTCATTCTTTTGGCCTTCGTGGGAACCTCCCTCTCTTCCTCCGGAGCTTCCTCTCTCATCGTTCCTTTCGTGTGCGGTTTGGTACTGCTCTCTCTGCCCCTTTTCAGCAGTATGAGGGTGTTCCCCAGGGTAGTGTTCTGAGCACTACTCTTTTTCTAGTTGCCCTCAATGGTCTTCTTTCCTCTCTTCCTTCTGGCGTCTTCTCTGCTCTCTATGTTGATGATCTTACCCTTTGCTGTCGGGGTGATGATTCCCCTCTCCCTCAACAGCGGGTTCAACTTGCGATTGATGCCGTGTTGTCTTGGGCCACCGATCATGGCTTCAAGTTCTCTGCGTCTAAGATTTGTGCTATGACTTTTACTCGGAAGCATGTCGTTCTTCGTCCCTCTTTGTCGCTTTATGGTCATCCCATTGTGTACAGGGATTCTGCGAAGCTTTTGGGGTTGGTCTTTGACACTCGTTTGTCTTGGTCAGCCCATATCTCTTACCTCTGAGTTGAATGCTCTAAGGCCCTTAACCTCCTTAAGGTTTTGTCCCATAATTCTTGGGGAGCGGATAGGCGCACGCTCCTCTATTTGCACTCCTCTCTCGTCCTGTCTAAACTCGATTATGGTTGCTCTGCATACTCTTCTGCTTCTCCTTTTACTCTTCGCCGTCTTGATGCTTTGCACCATACTGGGTTGCGTCTCAGCTCTGGTGCCTTTCGTTCGACTCCCGCCCTTAGTTTGTATGTTGACACTGGCTTTCTCTCTCTTCAGGACCGCCGTGATCGCTACTGTCTTCACTATCTTGCGCGGTCCTTACAACATCCTTCCTCTCGCCTCTGTCGTGCATTGACTTTTCTTCCTCCTGTGGTTCCTGCTCCTCTTCATTGTGTCCCACTTTCTGTCCGGTTATCTCGCTTACAGGATTCTCTTTCTGTTCATATTTCTAATGTTTCTCCTCGCATTGTTCCTTCCTTACCTCCGTGGAGAGTCCCCCTTCCCAAGTTTTGTACGTCCTTGACTTGTATTACTAAAGCCTTTACCCCTCCTACTATTCTGAAAAGCCTCTTCCTTGAGCACTTTTCTTCGCACTCCCACTCTATTTCCATGTTCACTGATGGGTCTAAGTCTGCGGACGGTGTGGGCTACTCTGTTGTTTTTCCTGACCGTACTTATATGTGTCGCCTCCCTTCGGAGGCTAGCGTCTTTACGGCGGAACTTTATGCTATTCTCTATGCTCTTTCTCTCTTGCTTTCTCATTCTCATTCCTCCTTTGTGGTTGTAGTTGATTCTCGTAGTGCCCTCATGGCTCTAGGGTCCTTTAATTCTGTCCATCCGGTGGTCATCGAGATTCAACATTGACTGTTTCTTATTTCTAGTAAATTTAAATCAGTAGAGTTTTGCTGGGTTCCCAGCCATATTGGTGTGACTGTTTCTTATTTCTAGTAAATTTAAATCAGTAGAGTTTTGCTGGGTTCCCAGCCATATTGGTGTTTCTTTCAATGAGCGTGCGGATGCTGCCGCTAAGGAAGCTATCCATTCTTGTCCTATCTCCCGTAAAAGTATTCCTTATTCCGACTTTTATCCTGTTATTCATTCTTCCATTCTTGCCCGTTGGCAGGGTTGTTGGTCCTCTGTGGTTAGTAACAAGCTGCGTACTCTCAAACGTAGTGTGTCCCCGTGGCCTTCCTCCTACCCCTGTAACCGGCGGTGGGAAACTGCTTTGGCACGGCTGCGGGTTGGTCATACCCGCTTAACCCACGGTCACTTAATGGAGCGCCGCCCTGCTCCTTATTATCCGAATTGCGTTGTCCCTCTTACAGTTGTGCATATCCTTGTTGAATGTCCTGACTTCCAGGACGAGCGTGTGTCTTGCTTTCCGACCGTCCCTCGCGGTCACCTGTCCCTCTATAGAATTCTTGGTGACTCGGATACTTTTGATATCGTTCGCCTTATGCGTTTTTGTTCTCGTATTGGCATTCTTGGTGATATTTAGCGCCCTCTGATTATTTCGCACTTTGATGGTGCTACACAGCCTTCCTGGTTTGGTGCCTTCTTTTGATGATTACCTTACCATGTAGGTTATGCCACACAAGAGCCCATGTAGGTTATGCCACACAAGAGCCCATGTAGGTTATGCCACACAAGAGCCCATGTAGGTTATGCCACACAAGAGCCCATGTAGGTTATGCCACACAAGAGCCCATGTAGGTTATGCCACACAAGAGCCCATGTAGGTTCGGCCTACCTTAGACTGTGACTTATATGTCAGACTGCGAGCAGCCGCCCCCAATACCCTGGTTGATGAGACTAGCAACCAGGAGGCATAGTCGGAGACCGGGCCGCTGGGACGTTGATCCTCGAAATCTTTGAAAGGTAAAGGAACTGTAGGTGTGACTTGTGGGCTGGGAAGCTTATGTCTGTACTGCGGTAATTTTTGGTTGAAAGTTGGTTGATGTTGGTGAGGTGAAGCTGGTGTTAACCTCTGCTGCAGCTCCTTACCGACGACCACCACAAGCAGAGTTGGAATATCACAGCAGCTGGGTAGGTTAGGCTAGGTTGGTTTAATGGTTGACCAGTAGTAGAGGTGGTTGACCAGCAGCCCTAGTGGTTGATTAGTAGTCCTAGTACTTTACCAATAGTACTAGTGGTTGAGTAGCAATCCTAGTAGTTGAGTAGTAGTCCATGTAGTTAACCAATACTACTAGAGATTGATCACCAGAGCAGCAGCCTTAGTAATGGAGCAGCAGTCCTATAGTAATGGAGCAGCAGTCCTATAGTGACTGAGCAGCAGTCCTATAGTGACTGAGCAGCAGTCCTATAGTGACTGAGCAGCAGTCCTATAGTGACTGAGCAGCAGTCCTATAGTGACTGAGCAGCAGTCCTATAGTGACTGAGCAGCAGTCGTATAGTGACTGAGCAGCAGTCCTGGTGGTGGAGGAGAAGTACTCAGTATGAGAGGTGGGGGAGAGCGTGTCCCAAGAAAGTACCAACAGTACCAGGTACTTTATCCCATCACAACTTTCACATGTCTGGCACTGTTCACCTCGCACTGCTCTCCGGGCTTTTGTCTCTGTTGTGTTAGTCCCCGTGTCGTGTTCTCTCCCTCTTGTGTTGGTCCCGTGTTGTGGTCTCCCTCTTGTGTTAGTCCCGTGTTGTGGTCTCCCTCTTGTGTTAGTCCCGTGTCGTGTTCTCCGTCTTGTGTTAGTCCCGTGTTGTGGTCTCCCTCTTGTGTTAGTCCCGTGTCGTGTTCTCCCTCTTGTGTTAGTCCCGTGTCGTGTTCTCCCTCTTGTGTTAGTCCCGTGTCGTGGTCTCCCTCTTGTGTTAGTCCCGTGTTGTGGTCTCCCTCTTGTGTTAGTCCCGTGTCGTGTTCTCCCTCTTGTGTTAGTCCCGTGTCGTGGTCTCCCTCTTGTGTTAGTCCCGTGTTGTGGTCTCCCTCTTGTGTTAGTCCCGTGTCGTGGTCTCCGTCTTGTGTTAGTCCCGTGTTGTGGTCTCCCTCTTGTGTTAGTCCCGTGTCGTGGTCTCCCTCTTGTGTTAGTCCCGTGTCGTGGTCTCCCTCTTGTGTTAGTCCCGTGTCGTGTTCTCTCCCTCGTTAGTCCCGTGTCGTGGTCTCCGTCTTGTGTTAGTCCCGTGTCGTGGTCTCCCTCTTGTGTTAGTCCCGTGTCGTGGTCTCCCTCTTGTGTTAGTCCCGTGTCGTGGTCTCCGTCTTGTGTTAGTCCCGTGTCGTGTTCTCTCCCTCTTGTGTTAGTCCCGTGTCGTGGTCTCCGTCTTGTGTTAGTCCCGTGTCGTGTTCTCTCCCTCTTGTGTTAGTCCCGTGTCGTGGTCTCCCTCTTGTGTTAGTCCCGTGTCGTGGTCTCCGTCTTGTGTTAGTCCCGTGTAGTGTTGTCTCCCTCTTGTGTTAGTCCCGTGTCGTGGTCTCCGTCTTGTGTTAGTCCCGTGTCGTGTTCTCTCCCTCTTGTGTTAGTCCCGTGTCGTGGTCTCCGTCTTGTGTTAGTCCCGTGTCGTGTTCTCTCCCTCTTGTGTTAGTCCCGTGTCGTGGTCTCCCTCTTGTGTTAGTCCCGTGTCGTGGTCTCCGTCTTGTGTTAGTCCCGTGTTGTGGTCTCCCTCTTGTGTTAGTCCCGTGTCGTGGTCTCCCTCTTGTGTTAGTCCCGTGTCGTGGTCTCCGTCTTGTGTTAGTCCCGTGTCGTGTTCTCTCCCTCTTGTGTTAGTCCCGTGTCGTGGTCTCCGTCTTGTGTTAGTCCCGTGTCGTGTGGTCTCCCTCTTGTGTTAGTCCCGTGTCGTGGTCTCCCTCTTGTGTTAGTCCCGTGTTGTGGTCTCCTCTTGTGTTAGTCCCGTGTCGTGTTCTCTCCCTCTTGTGTTAGTCCCGTGTCGTGGTCTCCCTCTTGTGTTAGTCCCGTGTCGTGGTCTCCGTCTTGTGTTAGTCCCGTGTTGTGGTCTCCCTCTTGTGTTAGTCCCGTGTCGTGTTCTCTCCCTCTTGTGTTAGTCCCGTGTTGTGGTCTCCCTCTTGTGTTAGTCCCGTGTTGTGGTCTCCGTCTTGTGTTAGTCCCGTGTTGTGGTCTCCCTCTTGTGTTAGTCCCGTGTCGTGGTCTCCCTCTTGTGTTAGTCCCGTGTTGTGGTCTCCCTCTTGTGTTAGTCCCGTGTCGTGTTCTCTCCCTCTTGTGTTAGTCCCGTGTCGTGGTCTCCCTCTTGTGTTAGTCCCGTGTCGTGGTCTCCGTCTTGTGTTAGTCCCGTGTTGTGGTCTCTCTCTTGTGTTAGTCCCGTGTCGTGGTCTCTCTCTTGTGTTAGTCCCGTGTCGTGGTCTCCCTCTTGTGTTAGTCCCGTGTCGTGGTCTCTCTCTTGTGTTAGTCCCGTGTTGTGGTCTCCGTCTTGTGTTTGTCCCGTGTCGTGGTCTCCCTCTTGTGTTAGTCCCGTGTCGTGGTCTCTCTCTTGTGTTAGTCCCGTGTTGTGTTCTCCGTCTTGTGTTAGTCCCGTGTCGTGGTCTCCCTCTTGTGTTAGTCCCGTGTCGTGGTCTCCCTCTTGTGTTAGTCCCGTGTCGTGGTCTCCCTCTTGTGTTAGTCCCGTGTCGTGGTCTCCCTCTTGTGTTAGTCCCGTGTCGTGGTCTCCGTCTACTGTCTTGACGGTGTTTAATGTTAGGCATCTGGGAAGACAGCGGGAGGTGTAGCCGTGAAGACGTCGGGAGTTACTGTTGTGACTGGGATTAAGATTATCTTACTAGTAGGTGAGGTTTTGCTTGTTGGTGCTTGTGATGTGGTAAGCGTGTAGACTCCGTAGTGTGGTGAGGCATCGCTCTCTGGCGTAGGGTCTACATGTGCTAGTTTCGGTAGTGAGAACGGCCCGGGGCTCGAACCCTGGTCAGAGTGGGATGACTGGAGAACGTCCTCCGTATTCCGGGCAGACCTGGACGTCGAATAAGCTAACCCGCTCCAGTACTTGGCCGCAGGTCTAAATCATCACATGAGAAAAATGATTTGAAACAATTCGATTTAGCTTTTTCCAACCTTTATTTTTACTAAACCTGGGCTAACTTTTCTACCGTAATCTAAGAGAATATGAGCTGAACGATAGATAGTTCTATATATATCACTGTTATTAATATATATATATATGACTGTAGGTGTATAATACTATGGTATTATTTATGTAGTGTTGAGTGGTCGGGTGTTGGAAGAGTGTCATGTTGTGTGAGCAGGACCTTCAGACCTGCCTTCAAGGCGGCTCTGTCCCGGCCCCGGACACTGTCACAACCCTGGGGTACTCCTGGTCGCGGACACACAGCATGTTGGGTGTATCCACCTCCCCCATACTCCACCATCCACCTCCCCCATACTCCACCATCCACCTCCCCCATACTCCACCATCCACCTCCCCCATACTCCACCATCCACCTCCCCCACCATGTCACCCACAACACCTGTTCTTGTTGTTCTTGTTGTTTTAGAGTTAGTTACTGAGAGGGAAAGGTCCATGTAGCCCGGGCTATATAGTGAGCCCGTACCACAAGTGATGATTAACTTGCAGGTGTGTGTTTACTGCCAGGTGAGCATTTGACAACATGCAACTTGCGACGGTTCATTACCACTCGGTTATTAATTTATTGCTAGGTGAATAGAGGCACCAGGTGTAAGGAAACCTAAGCGAGCGTCCCGCCTTATCCTGGAATCCAACCCGGATCGATTTTGAAATTGAATTAAAATTGAAAAAAGTTTATTGGGGTAAAATACACAGAAAGGGATGAGTTTCGTCAAGGTATTCTCACCCCGTTCAGTACAACGTGTTCATACATATATAGACACATCACAAACAATAAACATATTAGCGAACACTCTGAGTGAAGGGATCTAATTGGTTGCCCGTCGACTCATGTGGTGCGCTTGACCTTATTCTCGTGCTTGAAGTGTCCCATACTCCGTGGGCTCCATCCTCTTGTTGACACTCAAGTTGTACTTCTTAGTGAGAGCAGTCACTGTGACCCTCACTCCAAGGTCATTGTTTCTCTCAACATATTCCCCTCAAGCAACCTGTGATACACGCTTCACCCCGGGACTCCTCTACTTCAGAGGCTCTGTCCACGGCGTACAAATACCCAACCAGTTTCATTCAATTGGCACCACATTATGTTTTTATTGGCTTGTGGTTTATGACGGTGATTGATGTTTGTGGAGCTCTTTGGTTCTGCATATCTGAGTGCCAGACTACGAGGAGCGTGGAGCATATTGTTTATCTGGAGGTAACTACCGTGTACATGTCTCCACGACTGTTGCTGCTACAGTGAACACTGGTGACTGTGACACAACACTACCACCAGGTGTAGGACAACCTTCCTCACAACACTACCACCAGGTGTAGGACAACCTTCCTCACAACACTACCACCAGGTGTAGGACAACCTTCCTCACAACACCACCACCTAGGACAACAACACTACCACCAGGTGTAGGACAACCTTCCTCACAACACTACCACCAGGTGCAGGACAACCTTCCTCACAACACTACCACCAGGTGTAGGACAACCTTCCTCACAACACTACCACCAGGTGTAGGACAACCTTCCTCACAACACTACCACCAGGTGTAGGACAACCTTCCTCACAACACTACCACCAGGTGCAGGACAACCTTCCTCACAACACTACCACCAGGTGTAGGACAACCTTCCTCACAACACTACCACCAGGTGTAGGACAACCTTCCTCACAACACTACCACCAGGTGTAGGACAACCTTCCTCACAACACCACCACCAGGTGTAGGACAACCTTCCTCACAACACTACCACCAGGTGTAGGACAACCTTCCTCACAACACTACCACCAGGTGTAGGACAACCTTCCTCACAACACCACCACCAGGTGTAGGACAACCTTCCTCACAACACCACCACCAGGTGCAGGACAACCTTCCTCACAACACTACCACCAGGTGCAACACAGTGTTGGGCTGGTGTTCCCACTTGAACAAAGGTTCACGTGTTCAAAGGTGCCAACTTTCCCGTAGTCGTGAACAGTAAAGCTGATAGGCTTCTCGAGGTCCCCCTATCCCAGTGGCTAACCATCCCCAGGATACAGCCTAATGTAGGTGCTCAACTAAGGGGTACCTATTTACTGCTAGGTGAACAGAGGCATCAGTTGAAAGTAAACGTACTTAACTGGCCCTCTCTCCCGCCCGGGGATCATACCCGGGATTCTCGGTTGTGAGTCAAGGACGTAGACGTCTCGTTAGCTTTCTAGGAAACTGTGAAAGCTGTTTGCCAGTTTGATGTCAGAGTGACATTTAAACTTTCACCTGTAATTTGCTCATCAAATAATAGTGTTGCCTTCAATGTGTGAAGCAACACGTTATTGAACCACTGTATTCTTTGGTGTTACAACCTGTAGCTTAATGTGTAACATTGCCGCGATGACTAGTACGGTAACCCGACCTTCACTTGACACAAGTGTGTAACCAAGCCCCTCATGTGTTATAATGACTCCCCCCCATGTGTTATAATGACTCCCCCCGTGTGTTATAATGACCCCCCCGTGTGTTATAATGACTCCCCCCGTGTGTTATAATGACTCCCTCCCCCCCTTGTGTTATAATGACTCCCCCCGTGTGTTATAATGACTCCCCCCCGTGTGTTATAATGACTCCCCCCGTGTGTTATAATGACTCCCCCCCCGTGTGTTATAATGACCCCCGTGTGTTATAATGACCCCCCGTGTGTTATAATGACTCCCCCGTGTGTTATAATGACTCCCCCGTGTGTTATAATGACTCCCCCCCGTGTGTTATAATGACCCCCCGTGTGTTATAATGACTCCCCCCGTGTGTTATAATGACTCCCCCGTGTGTTATAATGACTCCCCCGTGTGTTATAATGACTCCCCCCGTGTGTTATAATGACTCCCCCGTGTGTTATAATGACCCCCCGTGTGTTATAATGACTCCCCCGTGTGTTATAATGACTCCCCCGTGTGTTATAATGACTCCCCCGTGTGTTATAATGACTCCCCCGTGTGTTATAATGACTCCCCCCCGTGTGTTATAATGACTCCCCCCGTGTTATAATGACTCCCCCGTGTGTTATAATGACTCCCCCCCCCGTGTGTTATAATGACTCCCCCGTGTGTTATGACTCCCCCGTGTGTTATAATGACTCCCCCGTGTGTTATAATGACTCCCCCGTGTGTTATAATGACTCCCCCGTGTGTTATAATGACTCCCCCGTGTGTTATAATGACTCCCCGTGTGTTATAATGACTCCCCCCCGTGTGTTATAATGACTCCCCCGTGTGTTATAATGACTCCCCCGTGTGTTATAATGACTCCCCCGTGTATTATAATGACTCCCCCCGTGTGTTATAATGACTCCCCCGTGTGTTATAATGACCCCCCGTGTGTTATAATGACTCCCCCGTGTGTTATAATGACTCCCCCGTGTGTTATAATGACTCCCCCGTGTGTTATAATGACTCCCACGTGTGTTATAATGACTCCCACGTGTGTTATAATGACTCCCCCCCCGTGTGTTATAATGACTCCCCCCGTGTGTTATAATGACTCCCCCGTGTGTTATAATGACTCCCCCCCCGTGTGTTATAATAACTCCCCCGTGTGTTATAATGACTCCCCCGTGTGTTATAATGGCTCCCTCGTGTGTTATAATGACTCCCCCCGTGTGTTATAATAACTCCCCCGTGTGTTATAATGACTCCCCCGTGTGTTATAATGGCTCCCTCGTGTGTTATAATGACTCCCCCCCGTGTGTTATAATGACTCCCCCTGTGTTATAATGACCCCCGTGTGTTATAATGACTCCCTCGTGTGTTATAATGACTCCCCCGTGTGTTATAATGACTCCCCCCGTGTGTTATAATGACTCCCCCGTGTGTTATAATGACTCCCCCGTGTGTTATAATGACTCCCCCGTGTGTTATAATGACTCCCCCCGTGTGTTATAATGACTCCCCCGTGTGTTATAATGACTCCCCCCGTGTGTTATAATGACCCCCGTGTGTTATAATGACTCCCCCGTGTGTTATAATGACTCCCCCGTGTGGTATAATGACCCCTCGTGTGTTATAATGACTCCCCCGTGTGTTATAATGACCCCCGTGTGTTATAATGACTCCCCCGTGTGTTATAATGACCCCCGTGTGTTATAATGACTCCCCCGTGTGTTATAATGACTCCCCCGTGAGGTATAATGACCCCTCGTGTGGTATAATGACTCCCCCGTGTGGTATGACTCCCCCGTGTGTTATAATTACTCCCCGTGTGTTATAATGACTCCCCCCGTGTGTTATAATGACTCCCCCCGCGTGTTATAATGACTCCCCCGTGTGTTATAATGACTCCCCCCGTGTGTTATAATGACTCCCCCGTGTAGTATAATGACTCCCCCGTGTGTTATAATGACTCCCCCGTGTGTTATAATGACCCCCGTGTGTTATAATGACTCCCCCGTGTGTTATAATGACTCCCCCGTGTGGTATAATGACTCCCCTCGTGTGTTATAATGACTCCCCCGTGTGTTATAATGACTCCCCCGTGTGTTATAATGACCCCCGTGTGGTATAATGACTCCCCTCGTGTGTTATAATGACTCCCCCGTGTGTTATAATGACTCCCCCGTGTGGTATAATGACTCCCCCGTGTGTTATAATGACTCCCCCGTGTGTTATAATGACTCCCCCGTGTGTTATAATGA